CATTTTTTAAACTTTACTATGCAGAAGAAAAATGATTTTTTTAATGATCAGTGGCCAGACCAACACCCTAATAGGGTTCTTTATACAAAATAAAGAGAAACTTGGCAATAGTTATTTAGCATTCAGTGCATATTTTCACATCAACACAGGAAGCTGACCCTTTGAATAGGAGGTTCCCTTTAGCTTTAGCCAGGAGATAAATATCTGTGCTCCTACCATTAGATCTGTCAGAAGTTTTTGACACAGCTGAACCTGAGGGGTTAATGGTTCAGTTGAGCCCTAGCAGGAGTAGACAGACTGACGTAGGTGATTCTAACACTTCCTCTCAGAAAGTCACAGAGGAATTAATGCTTTTTCTGCCACAGGAGCACTCTTTTGTGGAGTCCATCAAGGATTCCCCCTCCTTGTCAACATTTCTACTAGACGTCTACTAGTCTCAAATGCTATACTGAGCAAATGCCCAGCTCTACACCACCTTCTCACTGAACAGAGAGAGCACTGTTTCACAGCTTTCTCAGTGCCCCACTGAAATCAGCAGCTAGCCGAAACTACATTTAGGCAAGATGGAGATAATGTTGCAAAGTAGGACAACTGTTTTGAAAAAATGATCCATACCACATCATTTTCATTCAAAGGCATCTATTATCTGATCACAGTCTTGGGACCCTCTAGGCTCTTTATTGCTTTTGGATCATCAAATGGTTCTAGTAGCCAAAAATACAACCATCTTTGGCAAGGCAGGAGGCTTCATCTCTTCCATTTTAATTCAGATATGGCCCCAAGGGCATCACCTCAAGAATAAATGACAGGAACGCTTTATACCTGTCTGAGAATGCTATAGAGGGGTAGCCGAGTTAGTCTATAGGGGTGTGTCAAGACTTCAGGGTGTTTTTTGTTTTGTTTTGTTTTTTCGAAAAAAAGTGGCCTTTTTGCAAAAAAGCTTCCCCTGCATCTAGACTGCCACCACATTCTTTCTAAATTACATCGACTGCAGTAAACCTCATTTTATGAGGAAGAACGCCTTTTTTCGAACGTGCTTTTTCGAAAAAAGGCGTTCTTGAATGCAAACAGGGCTTTTTCGAAAGAGAGCATCCAGACTGCCTGGGAGCTCTCTTTCGAAAAAGCGGCTCGCTTTTTCAGAAGAAGTGGTTGCAGTCTAGATGCTGTCTTTCAAAAGAGGCTTTTTTTGAAAGATTCTTTTGAAAAAGCCTCTTTCGAAAGAGGCTTGTAGTCTAGACGTACCCTAACAGGAAAAACTTAAAAAACAACAAATAGACTAGTAGTACCTTAAGGACTAGCAAAACATGTAGATGGTATCATGAGCTTTCGTGGGCACAACCCACTTCAGATGACTGGAGTATTAGAAATCCAGATCCAAGAATAAATAAGGAAAGGGGATGGGGAAAGAGAAAAAAGGAGGGAGGGAAAAGGAAAAAAAATAAAAAGAGACAGTGAGTAGATGGTTCAAATAGTTATAAAAACAATTAGCGCCTCCATTGTTTAGTTGGTTGGTTAAGTCATTAGGATGTGGAAGATAGTGTGCAAGCTAGCCAATGTCCTTGTTCATACTATTTGCATAAGAATTAAACTTGTAAATGAAGTTAAGTTCCAATCCTTCTCTGTATTTGGCTTGTGGAATTGGCCTGAAACGAAACGGTGACTTGCGGATCCATTAATGAGTGTCCAGGTAGATTAAAGAGTTCTCCAACAGGTTTTTGTATATTGCCTTTTCAGATATTTGATTTTGTGTCCATTAATTCTTTCCTGTAGAGACTGTCCAGTTTGACCAATATACATGGCAGTAGGCCATTGGGGGCATTTGATGGCATAGATCACATTAGTGGATGTGCAGTTAAATGAGCCTCTGATTTGGTGGCCGATGTGTTTTGGTCCAGTGATGAAATCGCTTGTGTAGATGTGTGGGCAAAGCTGGCATTGGTGCTGACTGCAGGCACCGGTGCTAGATGATTATAATGGAGGTGTGTTGCATGGTTATTGGAAAGAATTTGTTTGAGGTTAGAGAATTGTCTGTAAACGAGGATTGTCTTTTCCCCCAAGGCCTCTGAAAGTGAGGGGTCATTTTCCAGGATAGGTTGTAGATTGTTGATAATGCTTTGGAAGGATTTAAGTTGTGGACTGTAGGTGATGACAAGTGGAATTCTGTTGTTTTCACTTTTTGGCCTGTCTTGAAGTAGTTCATGTCTGGGTACGTTTTTGGCTCTGTCAATCTGTTTTTTCACTTCTCCGAAGATCGTACAAGATGCAGGACCTTGCCATTTCACTAACAAGGGTAATCACTTAGCATTTTTCACTTCACTGGCCCCTTAGTCCAATGCAAGATCCAATTTAAGGTCCTAATCTTAATATTCAAATCATGTGGGCTGAAATGTGCAAACTTTACACAAGCCAAGGAGGGAAAGTAAACAACTTGAATAATAGTTCAGAATTGAGCTGTGTCACTATCTCAGAAACCATCACTCTCTCCAGGAATTTGACCTAGCACAACAGTTGCCTCCTTCAGGAAAACCAGAGCTGATCACAAGTACATACGACTTCTCAGCAGCAACCTCACTGCTATGGAACCCTTTTCTGCAAAATGTTTGAGTGCCCACACATCTGGCAACTTTTGGAACAAATTTTGAGTCCCATCTCTTTATGTTAGCATTTCCACAGCTTCCCATGAGTAGGATAACAAGGTGGGACAAAGGAGGAGAATGGAGAAAAGGAAGAAGAAAATCAGTAGAAATGAACCTCCATACTCTGAGTGTCCCTAATCCAGGAACACCCCTGGTATGGACCCTGGCAGGCAGAGGAGGAAGCTGCTCTGTGCACTGCCTCTTCTCTTCCTTCCTAGCTAGGGAAACGGGAGTGCAGTAATGTGCTTCTCTGAAGCTTTTCCCCACTACTCCCATAGCAGTGGAGGCAGTGCCTGGATGTACCGTGGGACACAAAGCCATGTCTGCCCCCCATCTCCCTCATGCTCAAAAGCCATAGTGCCCTCCCTGGCCTGGCAAAAAAAAAATTATCTGGCATACCCTGTTTCCCAGGGTTGCCAGATTAAAGCGGTTCAAGTGTATCTATTTACTTGCAAGGAAGAAAGTACAAGTTGGACCTTCCTGGTCCAGCTCATTCAGGACTTGACCCATCCCAATGGAGGAAATTTGCTGGACCAGGAGAGGTCCCTGCCACTGGCCTCCGAGGACACTGCTCCTCCTTCTGGCTGGCTCTGCTCCAGCCCCATTTTCACTGGGCTCTAGCCCCGCTGCTAAAGGGCTTGGGCTCCAGCAGCGGCCCCCAGTTGGCTGGAGCTCTCTGGGGACTAAGCTCCCCAGCTGTCATGGCCCCGTGTCTTCCCCACTCAGCCAAAACTCCTCATGGACTGGGCTCCATGGCTGCCCTGCTGCTGCCATGCCCAGCTGCGACTTCCCAGGGACGGAGCTCTCTGGCTGCCCTGCTGCTGCCCCATCTGGCCAGGGTTCCCTGGAGACTGGGCTCACTGATCCCAATGATGGGGCTTCCTGCCACTAGACTCCTGACTAACTTGCACTCCTGGGGGGCGAGGCTCTCTTGCCCAGCAACATTCTTGGTCCTGCCAGAACATGGATGCTGCTAGACCAAAGAGTTCCGGATTTAGGAGGTACAACCTGTACAGTCTTCATGCTTTGGACACCTAACTAACACTCATTGAAGTTAATGACAAAACTCCCACAAACTTCAATGAACTTTGCTTCAGGCCTCAATTTTTATTTTAAAGGTTTTGTGTCTGTGTGTATGTAATTACCATTCTGTTGAGACAAGCATGATTTTCTATGTGTAATACGACTTTCAACTATTTACCCAAAATACCATAAAGCACCTGTTTGAGAGAGCCATACACTGAGCTGCCTGACAATTATGGTTTTGTTAAATTAATTTTTGCAAAGTGTCTGCTAACCAAAGACAATTTTGATTTTTTTCATAAAAGACATGACTATCCCAAAACCAAAAACTTCAGGTTTGTTGGCCAAAACCATAAATATTTCAATTTAGAAATGCAGTCAAAGTGTCATGTACCACCATTCTCCTCTATTCTACTTGATGTAGATTTTAGTACAGTATCTGACTGCCTTCCCATAATAAGACTACACAATCTATCATACGTTATCTGTTCTCTCATTCTCCCCACAGAGGCATGTGGAGAGTTTTGTCTTGGTAGGGTTTTGTTTGTTTATTGCTATGCCTGTTGCTGTTATTTATATTAGAGAAGGCAATGTAGTGGGTTTCCAAGCTAGACTGCATATCTTCCATGTGGTACTGTGGCCATGGACTCTCATGATTAATTCCCCCCCCCCAAAAAAAGTCCAAATTTTATTTGGAAATTTTTCCTCCAAACCAGTTCTAGGTAGAAACAATAACTGTTTCCCCCTCCTATTTTGGTTTTAAAACATCTGCAAAGATAAACGCAAAATATTTCCTAGTTAAGAACATCTCCTCTCACATATTGCTACAAAAATCTGTTGAGGTCCCATGTCACTTGAGAGCAGAATTATTAATCACCCCCCCAACATATCCATTTCTTTTGGAAACAAAGTGATTACAATATCTAGCCGCATCTTAAAACATTTCTATAAACCCTTTGATCAGGCAAAGCAGGGTGGGGGGGAAAGCTGAAGTTCAGGGATAATATTGGGGTTTTTTAAACTGAAAGAAATATCTGGCAAAAGAAGTTCATCCTTTCATACTAAGACTTGTAACGCTCTTTGAACAGCAGATTCTGAGGTAGAATTGTTAAACATAGCACAAAAGAGGTAAGAGCAGTGCTTATTTTTCTCTTCATTCAAGAGAGACTCAGAAAAGGGAAATAATGGGTATTCACTGGTCAAAGCTCATACTGCTGATTGGTGGCTGGGCCTGTGGCAGCACTTTACAGGAAATCAGACAACATTCTCCAAAGAGATTTCTTAGTATTGCTTATACTGAAGAAAAAACATTGAAACCCATTCAGCTCTGTAAAGCGCCTAGCAATGGTGCACAGAATTTGCTTCATAGGAAACAGCATCGCAGTGCTTTGCAGCCTCAGATCACACACACATCTTAAGGTAAACCTGCATGAATAGCTCTTGCTTCTGCCTAAACTCTTTTGCTTTTGAACAGACTTCTACTCCAAACAGGAGTTTTAAACATGGGAATGATTTATGAAACTTCTCATGCTACTGGAGGCGAAAAGATTATAGGTGTGTAAATGCTGGCTGTGTTTAGTCTACCATACGCAAGACAGCTGCAGCCCCTGCAGCCAAAACCCTCCAAGCTCCAGCATTTTAAAATCTTTCAGTCCCTTCTCCAACTTGAAAATCAATATAACCACTTCCAAACAGTTGAAGTATTAGACCTTTTTGTTGAGTTCTCTGAATGTTGTTTGATTGCTAAATTATATTTATTTGCAAAGCAAAAAGAGGACTGTATTGTAAAGTTAAATTGAGTTAGCCTACATAAGGATTTTACTAAATCAATAACATGGCTTTACTTAAAAATGCTGGTGGGAGGCTCCTATTAGTTACATACTAATATATTCATATTGTTAATATGTTGCTTCTGGTTGCATTGCTAGCAAGTGGGATATCAAATGAATGATACTAAAATAAATTGAGCAATGTGCTAATTATACCACAAACAAATTAGAAACAGACTGGGTTCATTTCAATCAGAAAAATAAGTTCTACAGCTTGTGTCTCCTGTAGGTAACTATTTTCTGTTATGAGAAGAAATTTGTAAACCCTATGGCAATTGGTAAAATATATTTTCCCACTATCTAAAAAGTAATCTACCTACTACAATCTGTAACATATGGTACAGGTTGAACCTCTTTTAACCAGATTTCTCTGGTCCGGCAATACCCTTGGTCCAGGAGGACCAAGGATGTCCCAAGACCAGAGTCCTTGTAGAGAGCTCATGGCTAGGAGTCCAGCAGTAGGGCTGGTGCTGACACTCCAGAGGTCAAGTACGGGAGGCAGCAGGGCTGGAGCTAAGCAGCAAAACTGCCCCACAAGACCGGGAGGCAACAAGGCCGTCAGGCAGCACTACCCGGAGCCCAGCAGCCCCACTACTGCTAAGTAGCTCAAATTCCCAGAGGGACTGGAGGGCAGCACGGCTGCCCCGTGGGGCCAGAGTCTGACTGCTGGGCTGCCTGGTGGCGGGGTCAGGAACCTGGGAGTAGGACTACCCAGAGGCACAGCAAAAAGCCCAGCAGCCCCACTACCACCCAGCAAAGCTGCCTGGTGAGGCCGGGGCGCAGCAAGGCTGCCCAGTGAAGCTGAAGGCCAAGTGGGGTTTGTCGCCTGGTGGTGCAACTGGACTCCAGAAGTGGGACTGCCCCACAGAGATGAAACCCAGCAGTGGGGCTGAGCATGCAGGCAGCAGGGCTACCAAAATCTCCTCTCACATATTGCGGTGAATTAGTGAGAGGAGAATTTGGTAGCCCTGCATGCAGAGGGGCTGGCTTCAGGGGGGAAGCCAGCTGGGAGGCTGGCAACGAGACCATGGCTGGAGGGGGGCCAGTGATAGGGGTGGACACAGAAATGACCTTCCCTGGTCTGGCAAAATCCCTCAACCAGGGCAGGGCAAGTCCTGAGGGTGCCAGACCAAGGAGGTCCAACCTGTAGAACTTGTCTATATAAGATATAAAAGTGAGATACCATGTACCTTAAGTCAAGCCATGGCCCGTGATTGATTTTCTGTGTCAGACATCTAATACTCCTCACTACAACTCCAAACTCCTTCCATTAAAATGTAACTATACACACACACACACACACACACACACACACACACACACACAAAATGTATATGCCAGGCAATGAAGCAGCACGGGTCCATATAAAATTCTACCCATTGGCTCTGCCTTTTGATCTCTAATTCATAGCCTGGCTGCTTTGATATATTATTTTAGTTTGTTACCATGGGCTCATGATTCAAGTTAGTTATTTGAAGACAACTGAGCAGGCCTAGCCTTTGGGCAAGGTGAGCAAGGCGGTTGCCTTGGGCCCCGCATCTTTAGGGCCCTGCGCTACCTGGTACCCACCCGCCTAGCTGATTGCTCACTGCCCTGCTGGGAGCCTCCCGGCCACGCAGTGCAGCCAACCACAACATGCCGCCTTGGGCCCCGCAAACTCCTTGGCCAGGCTTGCCCAGAGGTGCCAGGTCTGGGAACCTCCGGGCCTAGCCCTAGGGCAAGAGAAGCAAGACAAATGTGTTGGTCCCTGCACTCTCAGGGCCCCGTGCTGCTGAGTATTCACCATCAACTGGCCAGGCTTGGGGCCCCACTGGGTATGTCTACACTACCCTCCTAATTCGAACTAGGAGGGTAATGTAGGCATACCGCACTTGCAAATGAAGCCTGGCATTTGAATTTCCCGGGCTTCATTTGCAAAGCCGGGCGCCGCCATTTTTAAATCCCGGCTAGTTTGAACCCCGTGCCACGCGGCTACACGCGGCACGGAGTAGCTAGTTCAGATTAGGCTTCTAATCCGAACTAGCTGTACTCCTCGTGGAATGAGGCGTACAGCTAGTTTGAATTAGGAAGCCTAATCTGAACTAGCTACTCCGTGCCGCGTGTAGCCGCGTGGCACGGGGTTCAAACTAGCCGGGATTTAAAAATGGCGGCGCCCGGCTTTGCAAATGAAGCCCGGGAAATTCAAATGCCAGGCTTCATTTGCAAGTGCGGTATGCCTACATTACCCTCCTAGTTCGAATTTGGAAATTTAAAAATGGCAGTGCCTGGCTTCTGCAAATGAAGCCCGGGAAATTCAAATCCCAGGCTTCATTTGCAAGTGCGGTATGCCTACATTACCCCGCTAGTTCGAATTAGCGGGGTAGTGTAGACATACCCACTCCCAGTGTCCTGCCTTGGGCCGGCAAACCCTTTGGCTGGGCCTGCAAATGAGGAATCAATTCTTCAGTCTGGCCTTGGGAAGACTTTTTTAGTGAGTTCACCAAGAGTTTGTCTGAATAAGGACTAGTTAAGGATTTGGCTCTGCTGTGTACTGGAATGGCAAGAGAGTGATTTCCTCAGCAAAGAATAAAGGATAAAATTAGCAAAATGAGCTGTTTAAAATGTTTACCTCAGGCCTCTTCTGTAATTTAAGATTATTCATCCAATCAGTTTCAAAGGCATTAAAACAAAGATTAAAAACTAGCATGCACATAGGCAGTGTTTCCTGTAATCTGAGTACGTGCGCTCAGGAGAGATTCAAATACTGCCCAACTGATTAGTAGAGTGCCTATAGCTAGGTTTTTTTGAGTGTACTGGTGGTGTACATTGGCACACACCTCAGTACATGTAAAATTTATTCCACATGTGCATGGAAAAAATCCACACGTGGATAGAACATAGTAGAGGGAACATTGCAATGGGAAATGAAACTCCTTTTCTGCTAAATAGCAATAGCCAATACCGCCATCCATCCACGTAGGTAAGTCAGTGGCCTTATCATTGTGACAGCCTGGGATACAGGTAGTCAGGTGTAATGGTTGGTGTGGAAGCCAGTAGGAAAGCAGGGCTGGAGCAGACTGGGCAGGCCAGGCCCTGGGAAGATTATATGTATAGATGTGTGCACTGAGCAGCCAGAGTCCCATCATATGCACACACAGAGCCAGCTTGCTGACTTTCTTGGCCAATTGGGCCACCCTGTTACAGCTCAGTTGTGCTCCTTGGCTAGCTGATCACTGTGCAGGCACAGCTGCCAGGCTTCATTCCTGGTGGTCATAATCCAAAAAGTAAACTGTCTCATGTTACATAGAGAGTGAAAGTCTAGGATAGAAAACAAATGTGCCTTGAGGAGGGAATTTGAAGAGAATGGGGATGCTTTGCAATAGGAAGAGGAATATCATTCTAGGCATTAGGACAAAATTATGTTCATGACATACATACAGAGAAGTAAGATATAAACAAATACTCTCCGTGAAAAGTTTTAACATAACACTGCTTCTTAGAATTCAGAATGATAACATGTAAGAACTCCCAAAACAGAGACACAAAACAGGCTCCTGCCTAACACAAGAGGCAAAACCCACTCCACCTTACCATAGGCTTTTTTCCAGAATGACTCTGCATACCCCCTTACGAAGGCTATGTCTAGACTGCAGGCTTCTTTCAGAAGAAGCTTTTCCGGAAGAGAGCATCCAGACTGCCAAAGTGCATTGAAAAAGCATCCAGACTGAATGGATGCTATCTCACATGTAAGCTGTGATTGCTATGGGCAGAATGGCCACCAGGGCACCTGTGCTTTTTCCTCTTTCTTCTTCTTGTGAAGAGCTCTTTCGGGAAAAGGCTTCTTCCTCAAAGTAAGAAGCTTACCAGTGTTGGAAAAACCCTTCTGTTCTTTTGATTTTCTTTCAAATGAATGCAATTGCAGTGTGGACGTAATTGAAGTTTTTCGGAAAAATTGCCATTTTTCCAAAAAAAAAACCTCCATAGTGTAGACATACCCAAAGCTGCTTAACATGCCAGTAAGATCAGGAAACCAAATGCTTGCAATTTCAACACAATCTTCAATTCATCATAGAGAAAAGTAAAGAAAACCATGAAGGAGATGAGTGGAGGAGGACAGAGTGTAGTGCAGACCTGGAGATGAGAACTGGTAAGGGAAGAACTCTTCAGAGCCTTAAAGTTATTGTTGAAAGGTAGAGGAGCCTGTTGGCATGCTCAGAGCGGCAGGTAAAGGTTATTTCATGAGTTCACTGCTGATTTGTTTGAAGAAGAAATTAATTTAAACTGAGTGTGTGTGAGAGAATTGTGGTGTGACCTAGTTTTGAGATAGTTGCAAAAGAGATAAAATGAGCTTTAGAATGTTACAGAGAGAGAAGCAACAGTTTGACAAAAGCCATGAAGAGAAAGAAAAATGGAGTCACAGACGATACCAGGTTGTGAAGCTGACAGACGGTGAAATGGAAAGTTTAGAAGTTCGTTGTTTCACTATGTATAGATTAAGGGAATAGTGACGCATCCATGAGGAAATATCAGGGAACCAGGAAGGATGAGAGGGATGCAAACCTACACTGAACCAGCAACATAAAGGCAATTGAAAATTGTCAGTCAAACTGCAAGTGGTTTTTAGAATCAGCATGTTTAACAACCAAAAAACAGCAAGGATTTTGAGCCAAATGTTCAAAAATAAAAAAGGAGTCTCCCCTTTATGAATGAGCAACTACATAGACACATGAACCTATCTGCACATGTTCTTTAGGAGCATTTATCTCTCTGCAATTTTGAAAGATACTTTTAAACTTCAGACACATTTGATAAGATTTACACATCCTCTACCCTTACCATAAATCCACGTGGACTCATGAGGAATCGTACATGTGATCCCCATCATGTGTGCACACAGATGGCAATGCTAGTGCTGTGGCACTAAGCTGCAAAAGCACAAATGGAAAACTTATTAAGGCCATCTTTGAAAACATGGCCCTCATTGTCCACCTGCTGCTCCCCACAGTAATAATCAAAACACTCCAGAAACAGATGCTCACTGAAAAACAAAACAATCCGTTCTGTTTTAAAAATAGCATTTTTAATTAAGTCCTTGTCTAGTTTAATGAAAAGCTTTATTCTAGCATCATTTAGGGTCCAATGCTGCAGCCCTTGCTTATACTGAACTCAATGGGACTTCTGCTCACAAGAGACCTGTTGGATTGGTGCCTTGGTTGAGCTGAAGCAATATGCAATAGTAACAGGTCAGCTAGAATGTTATTTTTAAAGACCTAAATAAATCGTTTTCTCATGTTCACACCTGACTCTCTCTTTGCAGGCTGACCTGAAGATTTCGTATTAACCGTGTGCCAAGAATCATGAATAGAGAGTAAGTACTGTAATATGACATTTATCATCTTGCCATTGTCATTGCATTCATTAGTTATTTCACAGTATTGTTACTGTAGAAGGAAGGAGATATGGAATCTCCCAAGCAGAGCCTGCAATCAAAGGCTCCCTTCCTGCAAACCCTTAAGCTCTTGAGTAAGGGCATGTCTACATAGCAGGGCTAAACTCAAAATAAGCCACGCAACATGAGCTACATCAGCTACATCAACTGCGTAGCTTAAGTCGAAATAGCTTATTTTGACTTTAGGCACATCTACACAGCACTTATTTCAAATCAGAGCACTCTTCTCCTGACTTGCCTTACTCCACATGCAACAAGGTTTACAGAAGTCGGAGTGAGAAGCTTGGTATTTTGAATTAATTTTGAAATAACGGGCTTGCTGTATACACATGCACTACCTTATTTTGGAATAATTGATGTTATTCTGAAATAACGCTGCTGTGTAGACATGTCCTAAATGTCCTCAGGAGAGCATGGTTTACAGGACTAAACCTTAAGGACACAAAGCAGTAGAGTATAGTTGGAGGAAGGGAGAAGTTGTGGTGACAGCAGCAAGATTATATGACTATTCAACAAAGGCACATGTGACAAGAATTTTTTAAATAAAAATGAAATAAGATGTATAAATCATAAATATTTTTGACTCTTTTTGGTGGTAATTGACATAGAAAGCAACATCTTCATGGATTATCTGAGGAAGAGTGTTCCATCTATAGGAGATGAAGTGTGTGTAAGGGAGAAGTATTTGCAGGAAAAACACTTAAAAGAAAAGCTTACTTATCTGTCCACTGCTGCTTTCACACTGCCTACCACTTGGGCATGTGGAGGGTAACTCTCCACTCTCACATGATTCGGGGACTGGAGGTCACTGGAGACCTAGAGCCAATCAAGTGGGAAATGGATGGAGTGAGTCTGGCCTGGATTGCTCTTGCAGTCACTGCTACTTTCTCTCTGCCTCCTCCAGAAATATATACCCTCCATTCCATTCTTCCTGCCCCTGAAATCTCTCATCCTAATCTTTGTGTTGTCTTTATTCCACATGCAAGATGATAAGGTGGTTGTATATCAGTCTCACTACTACCCTTTTCTGGAAGAAATGGGTTGTTTTGGTAGCCAAAGCTTGTGAGGTAATTAATTGTGTCTCATTATGTTGTTGTTGGGATGTTGCATTTTTTTGGTGAGCTTTATTCCCTGATGAACTTTTTAAAAAGTAAAATCTCCTCTAAAGAGTTAGCACTCTGGGTGGTCCTACATTCCCTGTTCACCCCCAAGCTCTCATTCACTTCAGCGGGGGGCTCTTTGTGAGCAAGAAATTCTCTTTACAACCACCCCAGCTTTTATTTACTGAGTGGATGGCTACTGGCCTCTCAAGACCAAAGTAAAGTTTGCCATAGGATTTCTAAACCACTACACACAATGCATGAAATGCTAATTATATGAAATATTTTTGGCCTGAACTAGTGTCCATTGCTATTGATGACAAAACTTGCACCTTCTCAGAAAAAGGTGTTGTTCATATAATTCCTTCTATTTATCCAGCAGATTTCCTGGTCTTATTGTGCCACTCTGTGATGTTGAATAGTGGTGTTGAATTGTTGACTTTATATAATTCTTATCAGGTACTCAGGTACCATGGTGATGAGCATGACACAAAGAGGAAGACAGCTATAATCTGAACACTTTAAACAAATAATACGTTAGCTAAAAGCAACTGAAATTTGACATGATAAAAGTTTATAATTAAGGGATGTTTCTGCTTAGAAAAAAGATTTTGGACTGAATATTTGTTAGTAATAGTGTTTATTTGTATTATGGTAGCGTGTAGAGGCCCCAACCAAGGTCATGAGCCATTATGCAAGGCATTGCACACATACATCTTTCCTACAATCTTTCCTAAACAGATTACTATCTAAATATACAAGATAAACAAAGAATGAAAGTCAGAGACAAGAATGATTTGCCCGAAGTCATAGAGTACATCAGTGGCAGAGCCAGAGACAGAAATCAAGTCTCCCAAGTGCTAATCTACGGATCCAAAAAGCCTCTTGCACCCATTTTTAATTTGGGAATGATGGTTAAACATTCTTAGAGATAATTTTTATTATGCATTAGGAGCACCAACAACGCACTGGTTCACATTATGTAAGTATATAAGAACATAAGAACGGCCATACTAGGTCAGTCCAAAGGTCCATCCAGCTCAGTACCCTGTCTGTCATCAGTAACCAATGCCAGGTGTCCCAGAGGGAGTGAACTGAACAGGTAATGATCAAGCGATCTCTCTCCTGCCATCCATCTTCACCCTCTGACAAACAGAGGCTAGGGACACCATTCCTTACCCATAATGGCTATTAGCCATTAATGGACTTAACCTCCATGAATTTATCTAGTTCTCTTTTAAGCCTTGACCAAAAAAGTTTCCCCACCCCTGCCATGAATAAAGACAACATTGAAACCTTTTTTGTTAGACATAATATTTTACTTTATTTACAATGAAGCCTGACCAACAAAGCCTCACTAGGAGCCCAGCCCCCATCTGGCTTCAGCATCCTGTCCCTGGCCTCAATCCTGGGGCAGGCCCTGTGATCCAGCCCCCATCTGGCTCAGAAAGGGCTGATGGTGGCCCTCCTGCTGCAGCAAGGGTAGGAGGGGAGGCCACAATCTGATTGCGGCGGATAGAGGGGCGTTGGTGAGCATACCAAATGGGCATAGCCCCCTAATTTTTTTTTTAAATCTGCTTTTGTTTGTTTGTTTTTTTAAATCTTGGATATTGAAAATCAGTCAGTGAGTCTGACTTTCATGTTCTCATGCACTGTCACTGTCTGAAATACTTGGATTACAACTGCTGCAGAGAAGTACTTACAGGCAAAAAAGCTTTCATTTTTTAAATGTGATGGAAACATTCCTATTAATATTAACTCTTTTCTCACAATCTTTGTACTGCCTTCCTTGAGGACTACAATAGTTCTTTATACTTATTTGCCAAATGCACTATATTGTGGGTTTTTTTTTTCAATGTTATGTGTAATGTGAAGGCTGTTGTAGGACTATGGAGCACTACTATGTTCAAAGACTAGAATATAATATACACTAAAAGTACTAAGTAAATGAATTTACATAATCTACTACACACAAATTTTAAATAATTTCATATAGGCTATCTAACTTAACAGCAAAGTTTAACAGTCTCATATTTTGAATTATGCATAAGGAAGACTGTACTTGTTAGAGAGAATATGTAATACAGGGCATCCCCGCTATAAGTCACCCCAGGTATACATCTGTTCCACTGGGGAACACCTCTAGTTACCCCTCTCCATTCTAAAAATTTACCATTTATTCCTACCCTTTGTTTCCTGTCTTTTAACCAGTCCATGAAAGGATCTTCCCTCTTATCCCATGACATCTTAATTTACGTAAGAGCCTTTGGTGAGGGACCTTGTCAAAGGTTTTCTGGAAATCTAAGTACACTATATCTACTGGATCCCCCTTTTTATAAATAAGTTGAATAGGAAGGGTCCCAGGACAGACCTTTGGGGGACCCCACTAGTTACCTTTTTCCACTCAGAAAACTGACCATTTATTCCTACCTTTTGTTTCCTGTCTTTTAACCAGTTTCCAATCCATGAAAGCATCTTCCCTCTTATCCCATGATAACTTAATTTACGTAAAAGCCGTTGGTGAGGGACCTTGTCAAAGGCTTTCTGGAAATCCAAGTATACTATATCTAGTGTCTAGACACAGCCCATATGTTTGTTGACCCCTTCAAAAGAACTCTAATAGATTAGTAAGACGTGATTTCCCTTTACAGAAACCATGCTGACTTTTGCCCAACAAATTATGTTCTTCTATGTGTCTGACAATTTTATTCTTTACTATTGTTTCAACTAATTTGCCCGGTACTGACGTTATACTTCTGTAATTGCTGGGATCACCTCTAGAGCCCTTTTTAAATATTGGCGTTACATTAGCTATCTTCCAGTCATTGGGTACAGAAGCTGATTTAAAGGTCCAAGTATACTATATCTAGTGGATCCCCCTTGTCCACATGTCTGTTGACCCCTTCAAAAGAACTCTAATAGATTAGTAAGACATGACTTCCCTTTACAGAAACCATGTTGACTTTTGCCCAACAAATTATGTTCTTCTGTGTTGGACAATTTTATTCTTTACTATTGTTTCAACCAATTTGCCCGGTACTGACGTTAGACTTACTGGTCTGTAATTGCTGGAATTGCCTCGAGAGCCCTTTTTAAATATTGGCGTTACATTAGCTATCTTCCAGTCATTGGGTACAGAAGCTGATTTAAAGGTTAGGTTACAAACCATAGTTAATAGTTCCACAATTTCACATTTGAGTTTTCAGAACTCTTGGGTGAATGCCATCTGGTCCTAGTGACTTATTACTGTTAAGTTTATCAATTAATCCAAAACCTCCTCTAAAGACACTTCAAACTGTGACAAGTCCTCAGATTTGTCACCTACAAAGGATGGGTCAGGTTTGGGAATCTCCCTAACATCCTCAGCCGTGAAGACTGAAGCAAAGAATTCATTTAGTTTCTCCACAATGACTTTATCGTCTTTAAGTGCTCCTTTTGTATCTCGATCATCCAGGGGCCCCAATGGTTGTTTAGCAGGCTTCCTGCTTCTGATGTACTTAAAAAACATTTTATTATTACCTTTTGAGTTTTTTGATAGCTGTTCTTCAAACTCCTTTCTGGCAGATCCATTACTAGCAAGAGTATTTGAACAAACTAGGCTGCATTTTGATTTTTTTTTAATTTGCAGTTTTGAGAATAATACAGATGCAGCAGCCTATTTTTGGAAGAGGAGTGAAGTATGAATCTAAATTCTTTGAGGCAGGTATCTTTTTTGTGTGCTCAGAAATGAGCTGATAGCTGTTCTTCAAACTCCTTTCTGGCAGATCCATTACTAGCAAGAGTATTTGAACAAACTAGGCTGCATTTTGATTTTTTTTT